GTGAGGCATTTAAATATACATCCGGTGCCGGTCCTTCCCCATCCTTATTTCTTTTCTTTTTTCACTTCAAACTTTCGGTTTCATTATTCGTTTTCACGTCCACTTCGACCATCCGCTCTTTGCAGCATGTACTAATTAGGCGGAGGAGTTCTAATGAAAATATCTATTATTCATGGGACCTCCTGCTTATCCTCCACCTCACGGACGGGGAGTCAAGTGCTTCTGGGGGCGCCACTATCGGCACTCACCTTGGAATTATGGGCCTCACTAATTAGATTAAACCCAAATACAAATTCGATATTAAATTCATTAGCACCTCACCTCGTCTGGTAAAGAGGCAATAACGTGGCGGATTTAACAACATCCCTTCACTTCTCTCTCACACCCTTAAGTTATCATACGCACGTTTGGTTTAAATTAATTACCACTACAATCTAATATTTATGAATAATTGATCTACGCAATAGGAAGCCCTGAGAATCCCTTTGACATTTAAGGTCTCATCTACAGTATCATTTTCATAATACAACTAATTACTATATCATTATGTACTCTACTTCAAATAATACATTTCAGCACTCAATTATATTGACAAACTTTGATGCCAAAGACACAAAATCTTACACAAATAAACCAATTATTTTGGATAATTACAACATCAAAAAGCATAATATAAACTTTTGTAAATTATTTTCATGACATAATTATGTTATTTCTTTGCGTACTTGACTTTTTAATTCGTTTTATTACAATTACTTAATAAATTAATTAATATTTTCTATTACTTATTTAGAAATTTATAATTAGAGCATTTTTTTGTTTTTTACTATTATCGGTTGTAATTTTTAATTGTTATATGAAAAACTAAAGTATATTTTGTAACAACAATTGTGTTTAATGTCCCGCACTATTTGAAACCGAATTAATCAAGTACTTTAAAGAATATAAAAAGATATTGTATAAAAAGAGAAACTTAACTGTATAAATAAAATACTAATTATTTATATTGAAAAAATATTTTTTTGTATTATTTTTTTTTGACGTTTTTTTAAATTTTCAAACCGTTTTATAGTGAATCCATACTGTTCGAAGCCGTATTATGGTTTTACTATTGTTAAATTAATGAAATATGAAACATTGGTTCATGAAAATTGTAACGACTTTTATATAATTTTTTTTTATTTCGAATTGAATTTAAATTTTTCGTTCAGCGAATTTTTATAATAGTTCTGAATAAATTCTATTATAACAATATGAAACAGTTCATGTTTTTAACAAACATCACAATTACATAAAATGTATTTTTTGTTAACAATTTTGTAAATAAAATTGGTTTTGTAATATTTCAAAAAACGAATTTTATTTATTACGAAACCAGTAGAAAGCACGACCACAGCATTAATTGAATTCATCCATTACGTTCCTTTTTTTTTGGGTTTAATTTTCAACCGTTGCGGCTTTTCCAATCAGAAGAATTTTAGCGCCGCTATAAATTCTCCTATGCTGGCAAAATCTAATCTAACTTCGGTTAAAATTTTATCCAACTCGGATCTCTACATTCGCCATAAATGCAAGCCAGACCATTTAGTCTACCGCCGCCTCTGACGCCAATTGCGTGTCAGCAAATATTTAAACAGAGAATCCCAGAGACAATCACAAATTTTACAATTATTTCACATCGTTCTCTCTCTATGCGAAGCAAATTTGAGTCTGATTTTCACTTTAGAAATTAAAAAAATAATCATCAAATGTAAAAAACTTTTACATTTCATAGTTGAAATATTTTAAAATTTCTGAAAATAAATAAGCATAAATAATTACAGAAATGAAAAGATCCATAATAACATACACATTATTGTATTTAACCCATGTTTCCAATTTTATAATAATATGAAGATTTATAGCCAAAAAATATACAAATAATGGACAAAAAATAGACGATTAATAAATTTAAATCAATTTATGAACAGAATAAATATTATTTTATTGGATTTATCGACAATAATTGTAAAATAATAGCGAATATTTAAGATGTATGAAATAGAAGCAAAACATGTGAATGATTTGTATAGGAAATGAAACATTGCCCTTTGGGTATAGATTTAATTTGAAATTAGATCTTAATGTATACTGTTTACATCGGTTTCGCAGTGACGAAAATCTGTTAAGTTCTCTTTGAATATGAAAATAGAATGTGTGCAACGATCCGGACAGTTGGTGTAAATCAATTGACACGGAACCTTTCCAAGTCTGAAACGTTTGTTGATGAATTTCAGTATTTTTAAAAGCCAATAAAAGTACAGAAACAATAAATAATTTAACCATCCTTCGATATTATATAAATACATGAGTTTTTCTGTAAGGAAAGAATGAGCAACATGGACACAGGTTGTATAATAAATTCGGTTGGTGTTTATAAAACCGGAGCCGAACATAAAATAAATAAATATCTAATTTTATGGAAATTTTCCGGCACGCAAATGTAAACATTAAATCGAAATTGAATTCATTTCACGTAGGTTTTTTTTTGTTATCTGTATATTTTCGATCTATTTTTAATTTAATTTCATTTAATTACGATTCGTTGCTGTGCGAGTGAGGGGAGCGGGGTGAGAGAATAGGTCTGGTTTCGTCCGACGCCCACGCAGTTCGAGGAACGTTATTTGTGATTTTGCGTAAATGAAAATTGTTTTCCCTGAGAATTTCACTCGGGTTGGTCTTGCGGGCGAACAAGGGTGGTTTATAGGAGAGGAATAAGACTTGGGTGGGAAGAGTTGAGGATTTTGGTAGACGAGCTTTAAACCTAGGGGCATTATTACGAGATGCATGCGGCAAAAACGGGGAACGTCTTCTCCTCTCCTCTCATCTCTTCTCTCTTCGTTTTAAATATTACATAATTCCGGCAGATTTGATTTAACTTTGGGTTCCAGCTTCTCGGATTACCTTTTGATTCGGCGCCAAGTTTTAATTCGCAAGAGATGCTGGAAAAACGAAACAACTAATTTAGAAAAG